GTCTAAGCCGAGCCCACAACAGACCAAATTTATTTACTCAGGTTTAATATATTTGAATTTTCAAATATATGCAAACAAATAATTGAATATGCGATGGGTTCTAAGTCAGGAACCCCATTCTGTATGCGATATTCGCTAATAAAATCTATGTATAAAATTATTAAAATACCAGCATATTCAAAAAAATATAAGGATTGTAATACAATCCTCCAAGAAAATCCTATTGTGTCATTAAACACATTAAAAATCTGAGTAATATGCTCCTCTCCTAACTAATTTAATAATCTGTATAACAGATGTGCAAATAGGCTCCTGATGATGGCGGATTTGCAGCTAATTAATATACTATCAAAATCTTAAACCTCGTATATATCACACCGCCGAAACACTAGATTAGTGTCGAGTCAAGTGATTTGAGGTACGTGGCTGATGAGAGTCACTTTCTTTGAAACTGATATGAGGGACAATGTCCCAATGGCTCTATTCCCGAGAATCGCCGACTTTGTCTGCGATCCGTACTTCCTGTCATTTGATCTCACTGATTCTCTTGTTTCGGTGTTGTCATACTATTAATTCAGGATTTATAATATTTATAAATTAAAACTGGTCCACAAGAGGAAAGATGCACATTTGGCATTTTAAATTAAGACAAACTGATCTATGGATGATTAAAACTTTGCACCAGGTTCACCCACGCATCAAGAGGACGGAATTTCCGTCGTATAAGAATGCAGCAAACCCAAAACGTATACGGAATTGTGACTGGGTGACTGTATTAATCATTTTCTATTTACAAAAATGTGTTTTTGGATTATATTTTGATTTGGAGTAATGAAACAGGTAGCTATGCTTGTATTTTATCACTCGCTAATTAAGTTCCAATCACTCTGATTTGTCAAGTACGAATGGAGATTTGAATCACGTGATTTTCCACGTGCGCCGGTTCTAAAACTACAAGTACATTCACAACAGAATGATACGTCGTTCCGATCGGAACTCTATATGTTAAAGCGCAAATTGCGCAAGGCTTAAGAATTACAAAGCCAATTAACAAAGAGAGCATAGAACAATAGTTCTCTTAGCTCGTGAGCTTGTATCTCATTTTCACATCGGACATATTGTCTGATAATGACAAATTATTTTTGACGAGAGGGCCCTCTCCAAAGTCACAACATGCAAGAAATATACTCATTCGTTTATCAATGAGTTTGCTGAAAAGTTGAAAATAGATACTTGTCTCTTGATCCTAATGAGAACATTGCGATGCCTCTTTCTCGCTTTAAAAGCGGTTGAATTTGAACCAGAGTTATAATGACTTCATATATTACGTACCTTGACAATACAAAACTTATGAATTGTCATCACTGGAAGTCGGAGAGAAATTTGAAATTTCAGATTTGCTTGATAAAAAGCATTGATGGAACTTAATAAAAACAAAAATTTCATCTCATAAAAGCTGACTAAATGATGTCACTGAATGAAACACAGTAAAGAGTCGGATGAACGGCACTTAAATTCAAAATATAACTGCTGAATTTAGTATCCCAAATCAAAACATCTTGATGAATACATGACTGAAATGAATGCAAAGGGTGTCCTTGACTTTATTACTTATAGCTTTCTGCAATTAGCAGATAACACGAGGACGGAGAGATTAAATCTACTCCATAAAATATACAAAAAGTAATTGATGCTGCAAATTACCTTTATTTCTCAAGAAGGCCTATTACATTTCAAAAAGGCACTTACTTTAATGTAGTCATTTATATTGATTATAATTTTAATCATTTATGGTGCATGCATAATATGAGCACAAATTTTATGGATATCTCAGACTTCACATTGAAGAATGAACTTCTGCGACCACACAACGAGAACTTGCTGGTCAGCTGTGATGTAACATCACTTTACACAAATGTGCAATTGGAGAAGCTTATGGCTGCTGTTGATACGGCTTTTAGGGAAATTCTCAGTCTAAGCCGAGCCCACAACAGACCAATTTTTTTTACTCAGATTTAATATATTTGAATTTGCAAATATATACAAACAAATAATTGAATATGCGATGGGTTCTAAGTCAGGAACCCCATTCTGTATGCGATATTCGCTAATAAAATCGATGTATAAAATTATTAAAATACCAGCATATTCAAAAAAATATAAGGATTGCAATACAATCCTCCAAGAAAAACCTATTGTGTTATTAAACACATTAAAAATCTGAGTAATATGCTCCTCTCCTAACTAATTTAATAATCTGTATAACAGATGTGCAAATAGGCTCCTGATGATGGCGGATTTGCAGCTAATTAATATACTATCAAAATCTTAAACCTCGTATATATCACACCGCCGAAACACTAGATTAGTGTCGAGTCAAGTGATTTGAGGTACGTGGCTGATGAGAGTCACTTTCTTTGAAACTGCAATGCCCCCTAGCGGTGAGCAAGATTAGATAACTCTTTCCAATTAATCATAAGTAGGAGATAACTCTCTTTTAACAATGATTGCCAAAAACACATTTATGTTCATAAATGTTATTTTTATATGTCAAATCCCTTAGCTCTCATTTATTTTGGCTCTGTTTGATTTTCATAAATCACTCAAACACAAATTAGAATTGAAAATGGTCATTTATTAATTAAATGACGTAATATTGGAACAAAACACTAACTACAAAAATTTGAAAATAAAATAACCCGGATGTATATTAAAAAACATATATTATTACATCCGGGTCAACAACATCTCTACCTTGTAAAAAACATTAAGCCAACATGAACAAAGAGTATTACATAATATATTCAAAGCTGAAAATCAAAATTGAAAATCAAAGGTGGGGGACTTAAAATTGCCACAGTATTACTTGAAAGGCGTATTGAAAAGTAATACCCCCCCACCCCAAAATGAATGAGAAACACAACTATATTGCATAATTAACTTACATATGTCAATGGCAAGAGATTGAAATGAACTTAACTACATGACTAGATTTCTACCATGCAATATAACTATATAACAAAACAATACGTAAGAAAAACTTTTTTCTTCAAAAATACATAATTTCATAAAGATACATTAACATTCCATTCCAACAGAGGTCCGAAGCCCCATGCCAGAAAAATACTGCAGTAATTATTTTCAAACTAACATTACCGTATATGATACAAAAAACTTAGTGTCCATACTCTACAAGTAACTTTAGAGGACAGAGGCCCCTGACCCCATGTCCTGTTTACAAATTCAATAAAGGAATTCGAATGTATTTCCTATACGCATTAGATTTCCAACGTCCTAAAAGTTGAATTTGGTCATCGGAAACTCCTTTTGATTTCGCCCATGTTGTTGCACCAATTCTGAAAGAATGTCCTTTGTAACTTTTTGTGTCATAGTTCAAAAAGGTTAAAGAGATTTTCAATTGTTGATTGAAATATTGCCTAGATATCGGGGATTTGTCTTGGAACATAAACAGTGGACCTGCATTCTGTCCTCTCAATTTCATATAGTCCCATATAGCTAAAACTGGGCATAACTGCTTGTTTTCCTTGTTTGCTGATAATTGTAAAGTAACAGGTGGTTTTCCAATATGATGCTTGAAGTTGACCATGGTTACACACAAACTTTCGGGGGACCCATCATGTTGTTTCCCAAACGATACTGCTGATAGTGGTAGTGGATCTCCCAGAGAAGAGGATGTTATTTCACCTATCCTTAGGAAAGCATGAAAAGCTAAAAGGAACATAGCCTTGAATAAGTGCATTTGATAATAAGATTGGGTGCAATTCGGCAAAGAGTTCACAATTTGTTGAAGCATCAATGGAGTAATTGGAAGTCTGCTATCTGGCTTTGCTTTAAGCTTTTGAAAGCCTTGGATGGCTCGTTTCACCTTAAAATGTTGTGTTGGGTCTTCATGACCTTCCATTTTGCTGAAATGTGTGAGTGCTGACAGGTAGCCTAAAACTGTTTGTGGAGCCAAACTCTTTTGAAAACAATGAGATATGAACAAGACTAATTGGTTTGCAGAAATTGGGAATAACTGGGAATCAGGAAAGTACTTTTGTTGAAAAGTTGTGTACACTTCTTTGGCTCTTCTATAGGATGCTCTTGTTCCTACTGTTAATGCGTTTTCAATCAAATATGTTGACACCGAATTTAGAGCTTGAACATCTCTTCTGGCACAGATACTGGGTTCTGATTCATTGTTGGAGCAAGTTTCCGGAATTCTTGTATCTGTAAACGAGACAATTTATCACTAAGTATATTGTTCACACCTTTTACATGTTGAGATTGAAAATAAATGTTAAATTTCAGACACTGAACTATAAGACGACGTAATAGTTTCATAAGTAAAACATCTTTAGCTGTTTGTTTATTGATCACTTGCACTACTGCCATATTGTCCGAAAAGAAACAGACTTTCTTGTTTGCAAACTCTTGAGCCCATACTTGAACTGCGACCACAATTGGAAAGAGTTCTTTGATAGAAATGTGATACTTGGACCATGATGAAGGCCATTTACCATAAAACCATTTCACTCCAAAATATCCACCAAATCCAAGTCCACTTGCATCTGTGAATAGTTGCAATTTGTCTGATGTGTACCATACATCTTCTAAGAACAGTGATTTCCCATTGAAGTGGTTAAGGAATATTGACCACGCTTCAAGGTCGGCTTTTGCTTCTTTGCCTAATCTGCGCCTATGATGTGGTTTCTGCAAGCCTTTTGTAAGATCTATTAATCGGCGTAAAAATGTTCTGCCTGGTGGCACAACTGAACAAGCAAAATTCAAGAGCCCGATTACAGACTGTAGTTCCTGGAGTGTAATTTTCTTTCGGCTCTTATAAACATCAATTTGGGAACGCATTCGGAGCAATTTTTCTTGAGGCAAACGGATTTCCATGGCTACTGTGTCTAATTCAAGACCTAAGAAAGTTAAAACTGTTGTTGGAAATACAGTTTTTGATTCTTTTAATGGTACCCCTATAACATTCATAAATTTCAAAAATAATTTTAGTTGGCCATTACAGGATTCCATACATGGTGGACCAACCAACAGGAAATCATCCAACAAATGGACACATCCTTCAATTTTTAATTTTTCGTTCACCACCCAATGAATTGCTGTAGAAAATTTTTCAAATAGATTACAGGCAAAGCTTAAACCCATAGGTAATGTTTTATCATAGTAGAAGTAATCACCAATGGCAAATCCAAAAAGTTCATGATCAGAAGGGTGAATTGGAATGTTTTTGTAACCGTTTTCAATGTCAGTTTTTGCTAACAGAGCTCCTTTCCCAAAATGCTGAATAAGTTTAATGGCGTCATCTACTGTTTGATAGGAAACTGCCGAATCTTCTTTACCAATGCCATCATTTATTGAAGAGCCGTCCGGATAAGAAAGGTGATGTATTATTCTATATTCACCTGGTGTTTGTTTAGGAACTAATCCTAGGGGAGAAACTTGTAAATTTTTGAATGGCAATTTATCTAATGTAAATGGGCCTGCTGCTCGTCCCTTTTTAACTTCTATGTCAATTTTTTGCTGCAGAATGTCTATATTTTCCTTCGCAGATTTGAGATTTTCACTAAACCTAAATTTTCTGTCTCCATGATAAGGAATTCTGAAACCATTTGTGAAACCATCTATGAGGTATTGTCTTTTTTCCTGATTAAAATTTTGGAGCCAAACTGCCAATGTCTTTACACGAATAGGAGTCACAACATTACTTCTTGAATGGAGTTTGGGTATTTGCTGGCTTTGTGTTTGAGTGATTAGGTTTCTTGTTGTTGTCTGGAAGTCGGCAGTCTTTTTTGTTGTGGTCTCCAAAACATTTACTGCATATGTGTGCATACTCGCAGTTTGATCTTGCACACTGTCCCGCATTGTTGTTGAAGCTGAAACATGGCTTTTTGTTGTTTTTGATACGAAATGGCTGCTGCTGGTTTTGTTTTGGTCGACTGGTTTTTCCCTCTGTTTGAAACAATTTTGATTTTAGACCAATCTGCAGAGCTTCAGAATGAAGCTCAGAGTTTATCTTCTCCCACGGCATCTGGTCTAGATTCTCTGCCCTCCATTTTCTGAATTGCTCGTCATAGTGGAATGCAGCTCTCTCCCCGACATCAGAACTTAGCTTCTGGACTGTGGCCATGTACTTCATGAGGTTTGGTGCCTGTTCGGGGAACTTCTCACAGTAAATTGCCACAAAAACGTGGAAGGCTCCTGTCCACTGTTGTAAGGATTTGAAGAAGTATTTGTGTTCCTTTTGAAGAAATGTGACGCTATTGTCACTTGCCTGCACCGCCTCCAACTTGGCATATGGTTGTTTGAACACCAGACATCCTAACTGGATGAACTCCTCAGCCCATATCTTTGCCTTAATTTTCGTATCGATCCCTTGACCCAAAGGACGACCAATGTGAAGTGGCCCTGTACCCTTATTTTTATTACCTTCAGTAGTCGATGATTGCAGTGTTTCTTGTGATGGTGCAGGTGATGTCGCAGATGACGCTACAGATGATGTCGCAGCTGATGTCACAGGCAATGTTGCAGATGATGTGGATGACATGGAAATTCCCTCCAAATTGCTGCCAGTATTAGACTGGTTAGACTGAGATGAGGTATCTTTATTTGCAGTTACCCTCAGAGTTTCTTTCACAGTTGCCACAACAGTCTCTGTGATGGCTGGAAGGGCCTCTGCCAGAACTTCCTTCATTAGGTTTTTAATTTTGTCTTTCTCTTCCTCCTCATTTAATCGTCGTCTTTTCTTTGGTTGGGACATGTTTGGCTGTAATGTAAGTGATAAATTTGTATAAGAAAACACACTGTCTTAAACAACATATTCCAGACAGTCAAATCTGCTAACACAGTTATGTCCTTCAAAAATAAAAGGTGGCAGATACTGATATCATAGTTAACGCTATGAATATATATCTCACCAAAAACTTTTTTCAAGGAGTCCTTTTACTCTCACAAACTGACTAACGCCAGATATAACTAGTGCTAATTGTAACGGGGACCGTTACAGATGTTCCCCAAACGCTCCCCAACTCCCTTTTGGTGCCATATTCCCTGGAGGCTTCATTAAATAGGACAAACTCTTTGCATTTAAGACTTTAACTACGTTTACCCAGAAGTGTACCAAGTTCATTCCAATTTTAAGCATTGCACGCTTGCGCATGTGAATGCATGTGCGTAATGACCATATCATCTTCTCTACACAATCTATATATTTTGATATACTAAATATTAAAGTATTTAATCCAAAAGTATTAAAAAATACACTAATTCATGTGTATTTTTTATTTTAATCTTTTCACGTGCACGCACGTGCATACATGAGCATGGTGACTATACCTTCTTGTAGAAGTCCATTACATCTATCTATGTTCTAAATCCCACCCCGTTTGGTTGTAAACCAAGGGAGTTATAGCTGCTTAAAGTTTAATCTAATCAGATTGCAGTGCATGTACACGCACGTGCATGCATGTGAATGGTGACCATACCTTCTTGTAGAAGTCCATTATATATATCTATGTTCCAAATCCCACCCCATTTGCTTGTAAACCAAGGGAGTTATATCTATTTAAAATTTCAGCCAATCAGATTGCAGCGCATGTGCATGCAAGCGTTTTCATGATAATTGCTATATATTTTATTGTAGGATATCCTAATACATGCCTATGTTTAAAATTTCAAAGGATTTCGTCAAAAAACAAGAAAGATATTGAGACTTTAGTTTCAGCCAATCAGAGCAAAGCGCACATGCATGCGCGTGAGATCTTGCTTTTTTGACCATGTCATCTTGTCTATGCTTCTAATATATACTTATAATATGAGTTTCAAAGCATTTTATCAATAATTTAAATAGTTACGTCTGTATCAATTATGTTGGACATTTCTCATGTTGCACATGCGAGCTCTTGCAAGCACACGTGCATGCACATGCTTTCATGGTAATTCTTATATTACAGGCTGTAGATCTCCCGAATGTATGACTATGTTCAAAATTTCAAATGATTTTATTAAAAAACAAGAAAGATATAGAGACTTTAGTTTCAGCCAATCAGAGCATAGCGCACGTGCATGCGCGTGCGATCTTATTATTTTGACCATGTCATCTTCTGCATGCTACTAATATATCCTTACATTATGAGTTTCAAATCATTTTCTTAAAAAATAGAAAAGTTACGGTTTTATCCATTATATATTGGTCATTTCAAGATTTGCACGTGCGCGCTCTTGCAAGCACGTGCGCGCAAAATGACCTTGATTCCGCAAATCTACATAACATGTCTACTGACCCTAAAAACATTTCACCTAAATCGGATGTGTAGTTTACAAGATCATTCGCGGACAAAATTTTCCCGAGAAGAAAAATAATAATAATAATAATAATAACTAGATGAGATCTCGTTGCGAGCAACGAGTAGGTCTTCCGTTAAATTTCTCAATAAGATGAGATGTGATTTTGACTGAGATATTCGTTAAAGAGAATGACATAAAGTTTTCCTTCATTTAGTTTGATGTTTCTTATTTTTATCATGATATTCTGAACATCTTTTGTTCAACAAGGCTTATAAAAATCCTCCCCCTTTTCGAGATATAAAGCATAAAAAATAAAGCATTTTGGTCCCTTGCGACCCCTAACTACGTAACATATGACCAAAATGTTATCTTATATTGTTGCAATTCGTTAAGATAAATACTTTTGCCCTAGTAATGTCAGTGTACGAAATTCCCGTCCGCCCGCACGCCCGAGACGTACTAAATCGGGAGCGGACGTATAAGTTTTACTCCGCATCAGCCCGCTCGGGCGCACTAATTTTACCCTATCCCCTCCAATTTTTTTATTGCAGATTAATGTTTTGGGAAGATAAAGACCAAATATTTCAACGTTAATACAACCTATAAATCCCTCAGACAACAAAAAATAAATAAAACTAATCAATAAATCTGTAAAGATATGTAGAAAACAACAATCGTCTTTTAATCTGAATTTCCTCTGTTTTCACCCATGAAACGATATTTTCTACTTCCCACTAGTATATTGAGCATTTTTTTTTTAAACTTACAGGATCAGACAGATATCAAACACATTTACAAGTGTTAAATTAAAAGAATCTTTGTATAATGTTCATGTCGTATATTCTAGACCAGTAAATTATATTTATTCATTGGGCATTGGTTGTTTTAAGTAATTTTTATTTTTTGATTAAATAAAGGATAAACTTAGGTAAAATTAAATAATAAAACGATATTTTCACCTTTTAATAATTTTATGTACTGATCAATAATTAAATAGAAATAATAATATATTCAAATTCTTTTCAAAATAGAAGTTAATTTAACTATAATTACGATGAGTGTTAAAAATTGCTATAAAGTACTAAAATTTAAGTTTATATTTTTTTTTCTTTTCAATTAAATCAAGCAGACTCATTTCATCAAAAATGTGTGTGAATACACCTATAAACGTTGACATTATTAAATATTTAATTATCATGGCCATAATATATGTAAAAAAAAAATGGAAGAAAAAACGACAGTACTTAATTTCTTATTTTTCCTAACTTCATATTGAAAGTAATCAAATGAAAAAAATTTAATCTTAGTATTTACTGTGCAAGAAATTCAATTAGATTTGAAAAAAATGTACAAATTTGAGTGTGTGTACTCTGAAGTTTATATTGAATTTTATTACGCGGGCCTGCTAATTTTCAGCAGGGCTGACAGACTTTTTGAGTAGTCAGCCCTCCTGGTCCACCTGAATTTTTTCCGAGTTTCGTACACTGGTAATGTATAACAAAATATAAATTGATCATTAGAGAGTTATTAATAAAAGGATTTTGGCCCCTCTTAGCCCCTCATTTGAGGGGTCAGTCCCATTTTCTTGATATCAAATGAAAGGTCTTGTGATTTTGAAGATTTTTGGTTCAACACTTATTCAGAGATTTCTTTTCGTTGTGGAGATGTGATAACTTGAAATATTTAGGGGCCACTCCTACAATTCCCTAATGGGGCCGTTTTACAAACTTCAAAGTATGCATATTGTTTAGAACATTACTCTGACCATCTTTTGTTCAATATTGCTTATCAAAATATTCCCCCATTTTGAGATATAAAGCGTCAAATATTTGACATTCTGGCCCCTTGTGACCTCTAATTACGTAACATATGATCCAAATTATATCAGATATTGATGCAAATCGTTCAGATGATATTAATACTTTTGCTTCAGTAATGTATAACAAAATATTGATCGTTAAAGAGTTATAGATGAAAGACTTTTGGCCCCTCTTAGCCCCTAATTTGAGGGATCAGCCCCTTTTTCTTGATACCAAATGAAAGACCTTGCAATTTTGAAGATTTTTTATTCTACACTTATTCAAAGATTTCTTTTCGTTGTGGAGATATGCTGAATGGAAATATTTAGGGGCCATCGCTCAAGGTCCTTAATGGGGCCGTTTAACAAAAATTCAAAGTATGCATATTGTTGAGAACATTACTCTGATCATCTTTTATTCAATATTGCTTATCAAAATATTCCCCCTTTTTGAGATATAAAGCATCAAATATTTAACTTTCTGGCCCCTTGTGACCCCTTATTACGTAATATATGATCCAAATTATATCAGATATTGTTGCGAATCGTTCAGATGAATACTTTTGCATCAGTAATGTATAACGAAATATTGATCATTATAGAGTTATAGATGAAATACTTTTGGTCCCTCTGAGCCCCTTATTTTAGGGGTCAGCCCCTTTTTCTTGATACCAAATGAAAGGTCTTGTAATTTTAAAGACGTTTTGTTCAACACCTATTCAGAGATTTCTTTTCGTTGTGGAGATATGCTAAATAGAAATATTTAGGGGCCAGTCCTACAAGTCCTTAATGGGGCCGTTTTATAAAAATCCAAAGTATGTATATTGTTGAGAACATTACTCTGACCATCTTTTGTTCAATATTGCTCATCAAAATATTCCCCCTTTTCGAGATATAAAGCGTCAAAGATTATGCATTCTGGCCCCTTGTGTGGCCCCTAATTACGTAACATATGAGCAAACTTTTCTAATATATTGTTGAAGATTGTTACGATGAATATGTTTGCTTCTATAATGTATCACAAAATATTGATTATTAAAGAGTTAAAGATGAAAGATTTTTGGCCCCTCTGAGCCCCTAATTTGATGAGTCAGCCCCTTTTTCTTGATATCATATGAAAGCTTTCATCATTTTGCACAAATTTTCTTCAATATGTTTTAACAAATTATGAAGAGATAAGAAGGTATGTAACAAAATGTGTCAAATTTTGTGAGATGTTTCTGAGACATTTTTTCGGGCCCTACCGGGCTCCGGCGCCTTTTGCTCTAGGAAAGTTTAAATACCCACTTGCACATCTGCAAACCTTCCTTTTACTTCACTGAAAATCTTGACTCAATATCTTAAGCCGTTTAGGAGGAGTTCCCAGGACAAGCAGACCCTCTGAAAATCTGAAAATCCTTAATATCTCGAGATAAGAAGTGACGTCATCATTCAAAAAAATTTCCAATTAGGTTCAGATCAATATCTATCAGATCTGAAAGTTTCATGAAAATCGACCGAGTAGTTTCCGAGAACTCGCGTGCACAAAATCGGTTGGAATAATAAAAGGGAAAAAGAAACCTAAGAATAACAGAAAGGTCTTCCGCTGAAGACGGAAGACCTTAATAATAATAAGAAACAGAGTAAAAACAATATGTTCCCCAACTTCGTTTGGGGAACATAATAATAGCTAGTGCTATGTATTTATGTGAATGATTTTACTTATATCACAGTTTTGTAGCCAACAAATTTTAGTTGAATAAGCCACCACCCATGGCCATCGCTTATTACAAACTTTACTCAATGCAAATATAGAAATACTTTTTCCTCACAGTTAACACTGTGATTTATATGAAAAATACCTCTTTATGTTGGAAATCACTTACATCTTCCAGTACAAAAAACCAGCTTTCACCTGGGTATGATTACAAATAACTATCCTTCTCTCCTTCAGCTGAAATTAATAATATAATTAATCATGAATCATTATCTACAATTGCTAAGTGTGACTGTAAAATTCTTAATTTTGACTAACGCCAACTTTCATAGTTAACACTATGAATTTGTATGTATGATTAACTACTGTAGCTAACGCTACCAGGTATGGCTAACGCCTCAATCTCATAGCTAATGCTAGATAGTTCAGCCATTGAAACATTATTTGTACAGCTAATGCTGTGACCCAAATTGATGAACATCAATCACTTACACAATTCTGTGATCTCATAGCTAGCACTATGACCTTGTGTATAATCAACTTTGTAGCTAACGCTACCACAACTAATATGGCTATCGCCTTAATATCATAGCTAACGCTACCACAGTTTAAGCACTCTAAGCATTATGTGTATTTGTACCGTACAGCTAGCGCTGTGGTGCAAATTGTTGAAAATCAATCACTTACAAAGTTCTGTGAATATAACCCTGGCTACCGCCTTGGTTATCCGTCTATATATCTCAAACTGAAAAGATAATAAATATATGTAAATAAACATTCTCTTCTATCACAATATGCATTTCAACTTTTTGAATGATTAAATCATCTTATCATACAATAACATATACATTTTTAATTATTCATTTATTGCATTACAATATAAATTCCTATATAAGTCTTTACATGTCATCATAATTCATTTGGCAGTAAAATCATGACCAATTGTCGATACAATTATTACTTCTTGGTCATAAGCAATTTTTCTGTTGACTGTTTAATAGACATTTATACAATATTTATTGATAAATTGACATGCACATAAAATTGTTTCTGTAGTATTTTGGCAGACGATACTGTTTGTTTACTTGCACCCCATCATGAAAGAGATTTCGCACACTGTTTATAAGTCCACACAATTTCCCCTCGAGATGTCTTGAAGTGAATTGTTCTTGTAACATTTTTGTTTGCATGAGGGACTAGGTCATTGAATGTGAAATTGAGAGGTGTCTTGTGTTGTCACCAAAAGAAATTTGCATACCATTAGTTTTACTGCATATCTACATACAGATAGTTTCAAAATGTTCACAAAACGCACAGTGATAACTGGAATTTCACTTACACAAATGTCACTAGAGTATTAATCATTTGACATATTTGCACAATCACAAAATCAGGGTTGGATGCAGGAAATGCATCACAAATTCTTTCACAAGTTGAGAATTTGTTATCCGTCCCTCCAGTGTATCATAAAGTCAACAAACGCACTTCATAAAAAAATTCAGCACTCGTGCCATTTTAAACAGTCTTGTTTACATCAGCATTCCATTGCAGAAATTGGCCAATCAGAATGCACGGCTAAATATACCAGTTCTAACCCCAAAGTTATAAGCTCGAAGACTTCTTAACACAACATATATATAGCAGAATTTGAGTAAAAACAGCTTAAAAAAAAAATCTAATACGAGATAAATATCCATATTAAATATACTTTACGTCGGTTACATTGTCAGAAAAACTAAGAACCTATTCGTACATATTGCGTAACACCCCACGCTAAAAGCGCGCCTCATTGCTGTAGAAAAAAATACAGCTGGTCAAAGCTTTACAAATCTCCTGATTTTCTAAGCACCAACTTCGATTGCAAACATTTCAAAACTTACGCTTTAACACACTGGTAGGCGAAAAACACATCACATTGACAGTTCAAAACTGTAAAAAACTTTCCAGCTACCAACAGCGTGACACTTGATCTTTTGTTTTTGTTTGCAATGCCCCCTAGCGGTGAGCAAGATTAGATAACTCTTTCCAATTAATCATAAGTAGGAGATAACTCTCTTTTAACAATGATTGCCAAAAACACATTTATGTTCATAAATGTTATTATTGCAATTATGCGTTATGCCACCCTGCAAACTGATTGTTGATAAAAAATCATATCATACAAAATCAAATTAATCTTGATAACTTTATATCAAATTCATTTGAAAATAAAAAGCTGGTCATTCAGTAATGAAGTGCTTTGACAGACAATAAATTACAATTAAGAGAATAAGAGAAGAGAGATCTTAAAATTCTTGTGCCTGATTCCTAGGAGATAACACATGGTTGATAATGAGATTCCTTAATGTTCAACTTCCCACACCAAACTCATTAATTTATCTTCAACTGGATGCATGTCCAGTCATTATTCCCAGGAGACAAATGAAAATGCATTATCTTCTGTGCAATGTAAAAACTGTTTTTAACACTTGATGATGTTTTTTTTTTAAGTTTATATGAGTAGTTTTAAGCTGTAGTATTTTTGTACTGATATTCTAGATTCTATATCTCAAACCTTAAACATGAGCCCAAAATGAACAAGTGAATTAAAATAAAAAATAAAACCTGTAAAATGCAAAAAAATGAACCAAAAGAGTTGAAAATTCCAGTTGCACACCTTCATATGGTGAATAATAAGTGTACAAATTTTCAGATTAATCCTTGCAATAGTTTCTGAGAAACGGCCCAGACAAAACCACAAAATAAAAACTAGAGATGTTCCTAATTTACTTACAAAAATTTGCAGTGAAATACAATTGCTCATCATGTTTCTTAATGAATGAAACAGAGGTGCAACCAAATGAAACATCAATACTAATACATTGTAATTCCATTGTAAGATTTTTTTTTATTAATTTTTTCTTATTACTGCATTAAAAAAATATATTGCAATTATGTGTTATGTCACTCTGCAAACTGATTGTTGAAAAAAAAAACTATTTACAATATCAAATTAATCTTGATATATCAATTTGAAATGCATTTTGAAAATAAAGAACTGGTCATCCAGTAATGAAGTGTTTTGACAGACAATAAATTACAATTAAGAGAATAAGAGAAGAGAGATCTTTAATTCTTGTGCCTTATTCCCTGTAGATTTGATAACACAAACGCTTGATAAGAGATATGCCTAAACAACTTCCAACACCAAACTCATTAATTTATCTTTAACTGGATGCATGTCCAGTCATTATTCCAAAGAGACAAATGAAATTACATTATCTTCTGTGCAATGTAAAACATAGGTAATCAGAGATTACAGAGCTCACCTCAACGAATGTTGTCTTTCAGTAAGGCAAAGTCACACAATTAACCAACAAAAAAGTGTACATTCCAAAAATGAAAATATTTAAGCAATTTTGATCTGATACTTTGAAATAGACCTACATAAAAAATTTAAACTAGTTCTTCTTAATGAAAATCTAATCAAAATCCAGCATCTGAAGCAAATTTGAGAATTTTCATCTCTTGATGCAACATTTGTGTAAGTTTGGTTTATACTATGTTATATGAGCCTTATAGTTTTTTGGTAATAGACCTGCAACCATAACTTTTACCTGGTCTATTATCTGAAAAATGTATGTCAAATTCAGCATCCGAAGTAAGTCCATTAGTGTGCATCCTAAGATGTATCATCCATGCAAGTTTGCTCATTATAGGGCTCATAGTTAATTGGAAATGAAACATGTATTAAAAACTAACATTTTCACTCATCCACAAAAAGTAGGTCAGATTCAGCATCCGAAGCAGGCCTGGTAGTATGCATCCTTAGATGTATCATCCATGCAAGATTGGTCATTAAAGAACTCATAGTTACTTGGAAATGAAACATGCACCAAAAACTATAAGCTGTTTACTCAACCGGAAAATGTAGGTCAGATTCAGCATCCGAAGCAAGCCTGGTAGTATCCATCCTTAAATGTATCATCCATGCAAGTTTGGTCAACATAGGACATATAGTTACTTGGAAATGAAACCTGCACCAAAAACTTTAACCTGTTCACTCAACTGGAAAATGTAGGTCAGATTCAGCATCCGAAGCAAGCCCGATAATATTCATCCTTAGATGTATAATGCATGCAAGTTTGGTCAACATAGGGCTTAAAGTTACTTGCAAATGAAACCTGCACCAAAAACTTTAACCTGTTCACTCAACCGGAAAATGTAGGTCAGATTCAGCATCCGAAGCAAGCCTGGTAGTATTCATCCTTAGATGTATCATGCATGCAAGTTTGGTCAACATAGGGCTTAAAGTTACTTGCAAATGATACCTTCACCAAAAACTTTAACCTGTTCACTCAACCGGAAAATGTAGGTCAGATTCAGCATCCGAAGCAAGCCTGGTAGTATCCATCCTTAAATGTATCATCCATGCAAGTTTGGTCAACATAGGACTTATAGTTACTTGGAAATGAAACCTGCACCAAAAACTTTAACCTGTTCACTCAACAAGAGAAAGAATGTCAGATACAGAAACCGAAGCAAGACCAGTATTCAGCATCCTTAGATGTATCATGCATGCAAGTTTGGTCAACATAGGGCTTAAAGTTACTTGGAAATGAAACATGCACCAAAAACTTTAACCTGTTCACTCAACCGGAAAATATAGGTCAGATTCAGCATCCGAAGCAAACCTGGTAGTATCCATCCTTAAATGTATCATCCATGCAAGTTTGGTCAACATAGGACTTATAGTTACTTGCAAATGAAACCTGCACCAAAAACTTTAACCTGTTCACTCAACCGGAAAATGTAGGTCAGATTCAGCATCCGAAGCAAGCCCGGTAGTATGCATCCTTAGATGTATCATCCATGCAAGTTTGGTCAACATAGGGCTTATAGTAACTTGGAAATGAAATCTACACCAAAAACTGCACCAAAAATGTTAACCTGCTCCAAAAACATTAACCTGGTCATTCCTTTGCTGAAACTGCAGCATCTGAAACTTTGACTGGTACAATGAAACACAGTAGAACCATCTTCCATGCATGTCTAATCAATATTGGACATAAAAGTACTTAAAAAGAAAACTGCTCCAAAAAACTTAACCTTAACCTGGGACGCCGACGCCGACGCCGAGGGTATTACATAAGCTCCCCCAACTTCGTTGAGGTGAGCTAAAAATGTTTTTAACACTTGATGATGTTTCTTTTTTAAGTTTTTATGAGTAGTTTTAAGCTGTAGTTCACATTTTTGTACAGATATTCTAGATTATATGTCTCAAACCTTATACATGAGCCCAAAATGAACAAGTCAATTAAAATTTTAAAAAACCTGTAAAATGCAAAAAAATGAACCAAAAGAGTTGAAAATTCCAGTTGCACACCTTCATATGGTGAATAATAAGTGTACAAATTTTCAGACAAATCCTTCCAATAGTTTCTGAGTAATGGTCCGGACAAAAATCTCGTCTACAGACAGACGGACAGACGGACAGACGGACATGGTGATTCCAATATACCCCCCCTAAACTTTGTTTGCGGGGGGTATAAAAATCAATTCTTTAATTAAGTCTTTCAATATATCTTCATTTTTTTAATATGTGTTAGGTGAATGTGTAGACATTGTTCTAAAATTTACTTGATGCCTAAAATTATAATTCCTATCATAAAACAGACAGGGATTTTTAAAGATTGCATTAATTTTAGTGGTTTTGGCCCCATCCCTTAGGCCCCAGGGGGGCAGGGATCATGAAATTCACAATTTTTGTTCCCCCTCACCCATAGATACTTTGTGCCAAATTTGGTTGAAATTGGTTCAGTGGTTGCAGAGAAAAAACTGAAAATGTTCAAATGTTAACGCACGACGAACGAGGCACGACAAACGACGCACGACGGCGGACAAAAACAGATAGCAATAGGTCACCTGAGTTTACTCAGGTGACCTAAAAATGGACATGACGCAGTTAAAAATGCTATTGATCGGGCAAGAATCATTTACTATACAAACTTACAGCATCGGCCACCATCTTGGATGTTACGTAGGATGCTGACATTGCAAAGTGCATGCCAGGCCTTCTGTTTGTGCACATCGGAAGGCCTCGGAACCAGGCTAACATACAACATCATGTGACGTCTGGGAAAAGAGTACCAATTCACTTCCCATAGAACTCAATACAAATCTTAGGCCCTCTCAGTACTTACCTATTATAATTTCAGACAAATCCTTGGTATCATTGGAAACTTTGTTCTTTGCACTTACAAAATATACTGAAAGAAATATAGGGTCCCATGGCATTTATAGGTCAAAACTGCCCTTTTCCGCAACTTATAGAGATCGGCAGTAAATAACATGCTATGTCAAAAATCAACCCCCACTCCTAAAAACTTCCCCTGGCTTTTCTCTACTTTCTTTAATATTTCCTCATTCCATCATTTATTTCAAACATTAATATTTTTACTTTAAAATTAAGATAATTACTTACCTGAATTTATCCAATCAGATAACGCCTACCTATTTAATCCTTGAATCTACATTGTGCCACCAATAAAGCCATGTGCATATCAGGGGCTTTGATACTCTCATTCCTATACTCATATTGTTACCTACCTTGGAATTAGTCAATTTAGTAATTTTTAAAGACTTTACATTTACCCGAGTACATGTATGAAATCTGAGTCCTGCAACCTCAGTGTCTTGGATACTGTGACCTTCTGAAATGAAGACACCCAACTGCGGCCAACCGTGATAGAGTGAGTGAATGACTTTCAGACTTGTGATCATATTTGGATTTATGGATGACTGTAATGAATAAAATGTTGATAAATTGCCATGATTCTGTTGTTTATTGAAATTAAAATGAGACAAGAGATGTTTGTAAAACACTTATGCCCCCCTCCCCTAAATTGGAATTTTTCCAAGTCCAAAAGGGCATAACTCTGTCAAAAATGGTGCGATTATACCCAAAACAGATCTTGACCTACATATTAATGTGATATATCTGTATACCAAATTTCATTTCGGTATGTGCAACAGTTGCAAA